TAAACTGTAATATTCCCTCTCTCTCTCTGTCCATCTCTCTCTCTCTTTCTCATACACACACACACTCATATATACAACACAAACACACACACACATCCTGTCTTCAATATGATTATATGTGATAAATTATGCTGTATTAAAGATTCAGCTAACTTTTATATGCTATATTTTGATTAATGTGCAATAATATCTCATTAAAAATGCTCTGTTATACTATAAATTTATATATATAGTGAGAAATTATTGCTTCCAGTGCAAATAGTGACATATAATACATCTCATTTACTCCAACATAAGTATTTAATTCGTTCTTAGGTAAAGATGTTATAATGAATTTCTACCATAATGCCATATTGAAATTTAAAAAGGTAGTTGGTTAGGCTGACATTGATTGATGGATTACTTGCATAGATTATGCATCTATTCTGAAATTTTTCCATTCTTTGAAGAAACAGGTAACTTGAATAGAGATGGAGAGAAATTAGATGCAGTTTGCCACAAAATTATTGTCCAACTGAGGAGATCAGTAGGGATTATTAAAGACATCTTGGAAATGATGAGCAGTTAAGCCCGTTAAGGTTCTCAACTGACATACTGAAATGTAATGGAGTGGAAGACTGAAGCTATTAACTGCATTGATTTCACATCTAATTCCTATTGTGGAAAATTTTTGAGTCTCTCTTTTTCTCTTTCTCTCTCTCTTCCTAATAAGCATATAGCAAATCACACATCTAAAAGTATGTAAATATATAAGTATATATTATATGTAAGTATATATTATACTTAAATATACTTTACAAATATGGATCTGAATAAATACACAAGTATATATATATGTATATATACATACACATATCTCTAGAATCAACATAAAACACAATATATTATCCACAGACTTATGTTAACATTATAGTTCAAAAGAAAATATTAGAGAATTCAGGAATTTGAGTTTATAGCACTGTTGTGATGAAGACTAAGCATTTAATAGCTTAAATGAAACACGTAGTCTTGACAGAAGCGGGAGTGTTGTGAAAAAGAATATCCCATGTGCAGGTAATATTTTGGTCCAGATGATATATCTGTATCTATGTCTATATATATATCTAGTCTATATATGTCTAATATCTCTATCTATGTGTATCTATATTTAAAAAGTTAGCTGGTTAAGCTGACATTAATTAATGAGTTACTTGCATATATTAGATTAGAATAGATAAAGATATGAGTATTTATGATAAGATGCAATTTCTTTGATACTTTCATGTTTATATTTACTTGGAACAACATAGTATTATGGTATTTTTATTTTAATATGTGAGGATAGTAAAGAAAATCTACCAATACAATCAGATCATAAAATAAATTATGTTTTAAAACAAAAAGTTAAAGTAGGAAATACTTTAGTAATAAAAAGCAATCCTTTTTCAGAAAAAGACAATTGGAAACTTTATACCAACAAAGAAAATGTTATCATTTGGCTGGAAATTGGTAAAAACACGTACTCTTGTTTGTGATTACTTAAACCAAGTGGTTTGAATTCTCCTTTTTACTTCTGGTATCTGTTATCTCTACTTAAATTCTTCTGGAAACCCAAACACACATTTTTTCCTGATGGTGTCTAATGACCATTAAGAAACGACAATAATTCAGCTGGTGAACACATGATCAGGGCTAGTACTACCTGTATTAACTGAATTCAGATTGTGGTACTTACCCCCTGATGTTCTCCCATCAGTAACTAAGCTACATATACATTTAGCTGACACGGTGGGCAAAGTACATACAGGCTCATATGCATACAACAAACACATATATACCAACTTTAGTTCTCATCAGGTGTGTTAGGAAAACTCTATTTTCTGATCACTTGTGGTAACAATGCAGAATCAACAAAATCAAACAAGTTTGACTACATAGTGTATTTTAGGCTTGTGGTTTACCATAACATTTATAATTGTATATACAGTCATTCGTTTAATACACATTTATTGAATACTTTCTGTATACCTAGCTTTGGACATATGCCTGTGGAGAAGACAGCTATTCCTATTATTTGTGAGACTAAGTGGAGAGTTTTGATCATTCTAACAAACAACCAGGACACTAAGCAGCCACAGCTGGGCTTATCAGGGAAGAGTATGAACTAACGTTTGTTCTTGTGGAGATGCTGCCTTGAGCTGGAGACATCCCTGTAGTCTTTTCTCCCTACAAGGCCTGATGGCAGTCACCGTGTGGTTGAGATATCTGATTCCCATGCACCCAGAGTCACAGTGAGGCAGGCTGTGCACCCCCCAGCCCTGACATGCTAGATGGCCCTCTCAGCTTGTCCTTCCAGATTATCAGGTGGCTCGCTCGGGGTTCACGGCTCATTTCTAGCTTCTCTTCCAAGCCACACTAGGAGCCTTAGGAAACTCTGAGAGTGACTTGGGCACTACTCCTTCTCATTACTTCGACCTTGTCGGCAAAGTTGACCCCAACTATGCATGTGATGGTTTAGGGGAGGTGAAATTCGTTTTCTTCTTCTTTGCTCCTTAAACATTGAAAAATTGAAGACAATTTGAATTGTTTCGTGTCACCCTCTTGTGCCCCAGTGGAACAGATAAGCGAAAACTCCCCAAACACTTCTTCCCCTTCTTTTCTCCTAGACACCACCTGGAGTTGATACATCTCACGGCAGGAGTAATGGCTTTGAAGTGTGGACATTTTTAATTCTGAATCTTTGTTCTCAGAATGAGCCATGTTCAGTCAGCAATGCCGTTTCAGTTTAACCAAGGCAGAGCAAGAAGGAACACATTCAGTTAATACTTTACACAGAGTTTTCCTTGTGGAAGAAAGGATACATATAAGAGGAATGGAGAAGGCAAGAATGAATCTTGTAGAGATGGATTGAAATGGGAGGTATCTCTGTAAAGTCATGAAAAACATGCATATGTATCAGTATATCTGAATATATGTACACTCATAAACATTTGTGTATGTATTTTTGTACATATATTCATATGTTTCTTGTTCGCTGAAACAGTCTAGAAACAAGGATGCCCAAGTAGCTATGAACACAGCTAACACCCAGATCTTTGTCTCAAATACCATTTCCCACTAAAAGGAACCAGAAATCTTTAGAGAAATGTTTGATTCCAGAGCTGGGGCAGGATCAAGATGAGCCTGGACTATATTATGCCAGAAAAAAAGGAAGTGCTTCAGTAAATGATGGGGCATGTCACAAGAACAGAGGGACGAGCTTAAAGAGAACCCCAGTGGCCAAATCTGGGACAATTTGAACTCCAAAATAATTAAAGACAATAATGAATTATAGATCATAAGAAAGTAGGAATCCATGTGCCCACATGATAATAGATACTTAAAGAGAGAAATATGGGCACTTGCTTGTAACAGAATGCTGAGTGCCAAGTGATTAAGGCAGAAGTGCTTGAATAGACAAAAATCAGCATTTTGTAACCATTCTGGTAAAATTGGTTGCATCAAGAACCATTAATAGACGCTAACTCCAAGAGAATTTGATAAAGAGCATGATATTTACATGGTCCTAACCTAGTATCTCCCCACAGATTGCTTATTATTTGTAAGCGGTGAACAGGGGGCTGGGAATTGTCAATAACATGGATGCTCAAAATTTGGAGACTGGTGGGAAAGCATGTGAAGGTCACATAAATACCTGCTTCTGACATGAATCTTTTTTCCAAATGAATGTGTGAGTAGTAATGCTTTAAAGAGTCTGGGTTCCATGGAACAAATTCTGAAAATAAACCAGAGACACAGGTTCCACGCTGACCTAAGAAGTGTATCATCAGACATTGTATCAGCCAGGTTTTCATACGCTATTTTGCTGTGGAAGTTCAAAGTCAGAGTTGTATTGGAGGCCTAAATTGTGTATCTGTCCAAAGCTCAGTAGAATCCAAGGCTGGGAAAATACATAGCACGTTTAACTTAAGGTTGTTTTTACACTTGCAATGGTGAGACCATTTATTTATTTTAGATTACTGTAACTAACACAGCTATTGCATTTACCACTTCTAAACTGTATATTTATATTCAGACCTATAAGCACAAAGAAAAAGTATGCACAAATTCAAAATCTGTAGAATTTGCTTAACTCATTTCATACCCTAACCTGACCTGACCTGACCTTATGTTAGGCTGTGTTTTGTCTTTAATAATCCTCTTTGGTGTGAATGTCATGTGTTTTGCTCTAAATACATGATTTGATAACAGGCTATTACCACAGACCCAACTAGAGGTGTTCCAGAAAACACTGCATATGCACCACGTTACCTTTCTAAAATCTGAAAATTTCTGGATCTCAAAACGCATCTGGACACAAGTGTTTTGGTTAAGTGATTGTGGACTTGTGTTATCTAATTTCTTTAACGAGAAAACTGCTTATCCTTGATTAAGTGAAGCAACAGTTATGAGAGAAAATGGAGTACTAGAAAGTGAAATAGAAAATTAAATCCTGAAATGAATTTAAAGGACCCAGAATTGGGAAAGATTTTAAAATGCTGACTTAAATATAGACAATGTGGTAAATTATCCATAGCTGTGCTGCCTATTTGAATTGTAAGTAGAACCATGACATTTAAGTTCTAATAGTATTTTCTCTTTTCCTTCTGCAGTTATTAACAATACACAGGCAAAGATGTATTAGCATAGTGGAAAATTTTCCACATTAGGAATTTAGATCAGATCAAGAAACTCCCTCCTTTTCTGCCATTATCCTAGTCACATATTCCTTGACCAGTTTCCTCAACTGTAAAAATAAAATAAGTAATTTGGATTAATATAAGCCCTCTTCTGAGTTTTACAATGAAATGATTCTAAAATTTTATTATGTTATATTTATATTTTATATGTTTATATTCTTATTCTATCTGGTTCTAAAAATAGTACATGCTGCGATAACTTCCTTGAAGTGTAAAAGATGTAATTTTGGTTTTTTCAGCAAAGACAACCCTCTTATACTAATCAATTTCTCTTATATACAGTGCAAGTTCCAGGGCCAGTAGAAAACCTGCAAGCCGTATCTACCTCACCTACCTCAATTCTTATTACCTGGGAACCCCCCGCCTATGCAAATGGTCCAGTCCAAGGTTACAGATTGTTCTGCACTGAGGTGTCCACGGGAAAGGAACAGGTAGGTAGAGGAATGGTCCCCACTGCTGACACTTATTGTAGGAAGAGATTTGCAAGCTCTTGATACAGTCCAGTGTCCAGCACATTTATTGGGTAGCTGATCAGTTTTGAAGTTTTTGTTATTGGAAACTTTAAACAATTTAATTGACTTCTGGTGGTAAGAGAGACAAATGGGCCATAAAATGAAGTCGATATAAAGGATGCAAATTTTTTGTTTGAGTAGGTAGTGGCCTGGGCCAGTGTAACCACATTTGTATTAATCCATCTGGTCTTAGAAAGCATTTGCATTTTCAGTCCTTATCCTTAGGGATTATTGAGATCATATTCAATGACCTCAGCCAACATGCTCTTGTCATATATTTAATGTTATTTCTGTCCTCTCTCCAACATCGGGCTGTCAGCGATCACTTTTCATTGTTTTCTTTATACCCCACTTCAGAAGGCTACCTTCGTCTCTCTTACATTTTGCTTCTAATCTGTGGTTAGCACAGACACCTAAAAATAGGTAAGTTAGGTTTTCAGGTAAAGTAAGAGTAACTAAGGCTTTAGGGAGGCGCATGAAACTCAGCAGTTCTATTTTGTGACATATTTATGACTATGGAAATGTTTACTTTCAGATTCTCAAATTCATGTGGAAAAAGATATATCGACAAGTGTGTAGTTAAATAGGAATGATCCAGAGGTGACCTTGAGATAGTGGAGTTCTTAGGATGTGTGGTGAAGTTTGCAAGCATAGTCTTGTCTTTAGGCTTCCACCTAAATTGCATGATGGAGATTTTTCATTTAAAAAAATGTTTTGCAATAGTCCTATTCAGAAATAGTTCAAGTCCCAAGTTATATTATAAGATAAGAATTACTAAGAGCTCCTCCTGTGTAATCATTCATTCCAATTTTTTGTTTATCTGCTGTCTCTATGCTATTTAGCTCTTATTTTCACCTTTCTATTCTATCCACTTTTTTTTTACACATTTTAGCTCTTCAGTAATGCATTTCACCAATCCATTTAAATCAATTCAAAACCAATGTTAGCCGAGATAGATGTGAGTGTGAGGATCATCGTGGAGAGCTAAATAATGGGTCTTCTAGAGCAAAGTGACTCTGATTTCTCAGTGACCTTCACCTCCAGTACCTCATTTCTGCAGCTGTGAAGTGCTGAAAACAGTTCCAAACTCCCTCACAGCATTTTGAGAGAGAAAAATTGTGGCAAAGTATCTGTCAGTTTCAAGAGCTGTGGGTATATTTCAGCAAGGGAAGGCAGAAATCTATTGCTGCTTGGTGAATTATTCCATTTAGGGTACAGGAGAAGCTCTCTGTTCCCATGGATTTACAAGCTGCCTTCGCCTGTCAGCATTTGGTGTGGGCGGAATACTGCACACCATTCAATGTATTGGGTGGTGTTAAGCAAATTGGAACTTAATGACTGTAAAAATAGCATGGTGCTATTTTAACTAGGAGTCTATAGAGTGGTTTGGGCTTATTGGGGGCGTGTATGTCACAAGTTAGGTTTTACAATAACTCATTATAAAGCTAGAGTGTAGTTTTGTGAGTAAGAGTCTAAAATCCAAATCATTCATTGCTCAGAATGGCTGCCATTTCTGCTTTAATGTGCCTCGTGAATAACAGTTTTGGTGTTTTATGTCTCCAGAATATAGAAGTTGATGGACTGTCTTATAAGCTGGAAGGCCTGAAAAAATTCACGGAATATACTCTTCGATTCCTAGCTTATAATCGTTATGGGCCAGGAGTGTCTACTGATGATATAACAGTGGTTACGCTTTCTGATGGTAAGTTATACACAATGAAACTTGACTCACGTATTTGTTATGATAATGAAATAATATTGTATGGATGTCATAGACTCCATTTTCAATATTTCCTAACTAAAAGTTTATGGAATATATTAGCATAAATTAGAAATTTGGCTAATTCCCTCAAACTATCTATCTAATCAAATTCAAACTTTCAAAAGGTATACTCTCTGAATCAGGATGTCCTAATAGGTAATCTTCAAAGTGTGACTACTGTCTAAAAGCTCAAAATAACTCTGTGTTTTTCTTTATTTCTATAAAGACACACATTTGTGCAGGTGTGTAGACTAATTATATTGGTGTGTTTCTTTTATTTCTCATTCTAAAAATAAGTAGATGATAAAAAGTGTAAATGATAGACAATCTTCCTACACACATCTCTTAGTTTTAAAATACATCATAAAGATTTAGGCTAAGTAATCCAGCATTGAAAGTGTTAAAATTGAAAATGTATGCTTTTAGTTGTACTTTGCCTAGCAAATGAAAGATCAGATGTATTTTCTTAAATGCCATAAAAGAGAGGAAGAAATCTTAATGAAGAGAATGGATTTGACAAAGCAGTGGCAGACAAAACTGGATATTTAAGAAATGGATAATAATGAAACGTTGGGAAATTTAATGTATGTTGTGGGGCCAGTGAATATTCAGGCAGGTGCAAAAATGCAGAGATGTGACCTCCATGAATATTAAAAAGGCAATAAGCTAGTTCTTTCCAGCAACAGTTTCCATGTTGGTGTGTGTAATTTTATAAATTATTGATCTTTTAAATTAAAAAAAAGATAACTTTAACTTGTGATTACTTGACAGATCCATCATTCTTTAATCTAGGAAAGTATCTGAGTGGGTATTTCACACAGTATCAGTGGAATGAGGAAGGGCATGTATGTTATTAAGGACAGTATAAGGAAGACACAGGAGTAATACTCAATTGCAATTTCAACTTAAAAAAAATATTTTATATGTAACACCACTTCAGCATCATTTTTAATCTAATTCTTATGCCCATCCATCTGATTCTGTTATTAAAGACAGAACAGAATATTTATTGGCAGAATAAATTACTTCACAACTTGCAATTATAAAAATAAAAGGAAAACAAATGAAAATGAATATTTTACATAATTTATGTAGATTTCATTCACACTCTGAACTGTAATACTGTGGCCTTATTCTCCACTTTGGTTTTAAATGTTATAAGTGAGAAAAACAGATTATTACTCATTAGTCCAAGAATTATCATCTCGAAGTGTTGCAACATTTAGGACTTGGAAAATTCATGTCACTTAATAAAAGAATTTCATAACTGTAATCCCACAAGCATCACAGTGCAATTGACACTAACTTCCCTCTATCAGATTTATCTGTTAGGAGGAAGAAGGAACTTCATGGTCCCTTGGGAGCGGGCTCCCTGACCTCGTCTGCATGCATCTTTACAATCAACTCATCTCTTTTAATTTCCAAGGAAAAATCCTGTATCTTGGCTCCCATTCCCTTATTATCCAGTCCACTTCTCTCTACGTCCAGCTGATTCTTTTCCTCTCTACTGAAGCTGTCCGTGCTGAGGTCACACATCATATATAGATGTATTTAATCACATTTAATAGGCACCTGCTTCTAGTCCTCAGTCGTGAAGCCCTCTTCTTGACTTTATGGATGCTGTAAAAGGGAAATGTGAAAATTAAATGGACTAATCCACGTAAGCACCTAAAACTTGACCATGGCATATTTTAAGTGTTTAATAAATGTTATCTGTGCCAATGCACATGTCTCTTTTTCTCATTGTGCTACATGCTCCTTAATATGAGAGGTGATGTTGTTTTCATGTTTGTATTCATCTTACCTCAGTAAATATTTATTGAATTAATCAGACAGTTCAGCCAAACTTGTACAATTTTTCACATGTATAGTCTTATCTTTAGGACTTCTCATTTGCGTGGCTAATTTAATATATAACTGTGTCTAAATGCATCTTTGTTGTAGACAGAATCATATTTTTTATCCGGTCGGAGATATCCTTATCATAAAAATTTATATTAGGACCACAGAAAAATTGAATAAAAATAGAAATGAAATTAAAATAAATTTTTTTCTGAATTAATTATCCCAATGACATCCCCATTACGCTAAGATGCTTATAAAGATTTTTATCCTAATGAGCTGCCATCTCTAATTAAGCTCCGCTTTAATTGTTTTTCTTGGAAGAAACATTGTTTCCTGTTCAAATTCCTTCACCTAGTGTGTCATTGGTTTATAACGATCCGTTTCTTCACTGAGATTGCAGAGCATCAGATCTGGGCAGACTAAAATTTAGTATGGGATGTAACTACTTTTGCCAGTTTGTTCTCAAATACTGTCTCTTGAAGTAGTTGAGATGGATAAGTCATTAACAGATTTTATGAATGAATGAACATTTATGAGTGCCCATGCCAGCTTGCCCTGTGTCCAAAAGCAGATGGACTCAATTTCATAGGCAAACAACTATAGGAATGTGCTTCTTACTATCACTAATGTGTATTGAATACTTCTTAGTGTGAGGCCCTGCTCTAGTCACTTTGCATTATTAACCTTTTGCCCTCACGATACACTAATTTTCCCTACTTTACAGATGATGAAACTAATACAAAAAAAGGTCACAAAAGCTAGTAAGCAGCAGAGCCAGTTCACACGAGTCTATAAGTAAAGAGGCATGACTTACTGTGAAAACATATTGAGTTTCTCTTCTTCGATAATAAATTTTTCATATTAATTCCTTAAAGTAAAAAGCTCTTGATTATATATGAATTATTTCAATCCATAAATTATGCATACAGGACAGCACATACTTGCTAAGGGAAGGAATTCAAGTACCTGTCTGAATGGAGATTAATTTACAAATGTGAGAACTTTACCTACTCCACAGAATGACTCCTCATCATGGGTTTCAAACCAGCATGTTCCACCATATTGAGGGGAATTTCCAGACCAAACACCTCTGATTGGCTTTAATGAACCTATTGTAAATGATGAATTGCTTGGCATTTTGAAGAGAGAAGCAATGAACTATGTCCATCCCCTCTGCTTCCTGAAGCAATGAAACATCTTGGGAAGCCAATAAAAAGAGGCTCAGATAAATGTGGATTCCACTCACTTCCACCAAGCATCTGATCCTATCTATTGTATCTATTTATCTCTAAATAATATGGAAATTGATAGTGAGAAGGAGAGAGTGGCGCTCAATAACTAAAATTACTGTAGAAAAAATTCTCTACTTTCTTTCCTGACTATGTAAGGCAAGAATAGCCATTGTGCTATCAATAAAATGTAAGAGAAATTTATATTGTAAATATAATAGACAAAATATGACAATACCATTGTTGTAAGGATCTTTGAGATTTTATTATATTGGCTTACAATTCCTAACACAGAAAATAATCTTGATACTTCTCAAATTGTGGTAGTTACCAAAAGGAGAGCACATGTTTTTCTTTTCTCTTATATATTCTTGGCTTGCTGGAATTGAAGAGTTAAATGCCATTTATAAACTTAAATCAAAATAACATTTGAGAGTTACATATCAGCTAGCACAGAACCTAGAACAAAACATGATAAATCTGTTACCTTCTTCCTCCAAAATTTAATCACCTATCATAAATTCAGCTCGTGTTACTGAAATTATATTTTTATATTATTTGATTGGTCAAAAAATGGGTGTAATGTGATTAGTAAACTATAATATGACATGTAAATATTACACCACCATGTGAAATATAAACTAAGAATATTTTTCTATGTTTAAAGAGTGATTTATTATGCCTTAATATTAAGACATAATTTCCAAACTTTGCTTTTAAGGCATTATATTTTTCAGAAGTTTATGAAATTATATGATTGAGAGCACATGTTTTTTTGAATTTGTACAAAGTTTAATTTTCAATGCTTTACAGAATAATTTGAATATGGATTATATTGAATTCTTCCTCATTGTGAGGATATGTTTGTTTAGTACTCTGATCACACACATCACTGTTATTTCAAGCCTGTCTCTAATCTTTCCTCTTTTAAATAAAAATGCAGAGATCATCTTATTAAAGCCTGTGCGTTCTTCCCTTTCCTGGAGACTGGACTGGGCTGGCCAAAGGTCTGTGAAGGTAGTTCAGGGAAGTCTATTTCATTAATGTAGCATTTGTAGAGATGAGAAGATATGAACATTGCCAGATGCAGAAGAGCCCTTTTGATTATTTTAGCTCTAAAAAAATGAATATCTTAATGTTTTAATAATAGTAACGTGCAAATGGAATAAAAGATATAAAAGAGTGAAAATTTTACAGATGAGTTTGGGGGGAAACTGATCTGTGTTAATAAAACATACTTTAAAAACTCAACAAAAAAGGATATCTAGATGTCAGAAAACACATGAAAAGACGCTTGACATTACTAGTCCTCAGGGTAAACAGATAAAAATACTATATACCTACCAAATTAATAAAATTAAAAAGATTGAAAAAAACAAATGTTGGTAAGGATATAGGACAATTGGATCTTGCTACGTTGTTAGTGGGAGTGTAATTTGGTACAATCAATTTGGCAAACTTTGTATCTATTAAAGCTTAACATATGTGGAAACCTCACAAGAGTTTCTGCTCCTACCAGTATTGCCTCTCCTATGTATATAATGAAGAAAACGAGTGCAATTATCCACTGAAAGACATGCACAATAATTTTCATAGCATATTTATTCTCATAGCCCCAAACTGGAAAGAATCCAAATACCATTCATCAAAAGAATGGATAAATATAAAAAGAACAGTCATATAATACTAGGAAGTAACAAAAAACAAACAAGAACTCAAAGAACCACTGCACTTGAAACAACATGAATGAATCTCAAGAAATAATAATGAGCAAAAGAAGCCAGTTTGGAAAAAAAATATGATTTCCTTTTTTGTAAGCTTAAAAACAAGCTAAACTAGCCTATGGTATTAGAAGTCAGAATAGTGGTTATTCTAGAAGGGTATTGACTGGGAGGCAAGTGAGCTTTCCAGGGTGCTGAAATATCCTACACTGTAGTTTAGGTGGTGTTTAAATGGGAAAACACCCACACACATACAGCTTTGTCCAGTCATACACACAAGATTTGTGTACTTTCCTGTATATAGGTTATACCTTAATTTAAAAAACCAAAATTTCAAAAAGAAATCTTGTTGTGACTGAAACCCAGAATATGAAAAAGCTTTTATAATTAATTAATTAATTAATTCTACAAATATTTGTTGAATGTGACCCACATGCCTGTCACTCCTGTCAATACTAGGGATGCAACTTCAAAAGGGACAAAAATCCTGGTCCCTGTGGGGTTATATTCTGTATTTGATAAGAAGACCGTAATATGAGCTAAAAGAAATTAAATAATAATGTCTATTTTCTAAATTATGAAATAGTTTTGAAAGAACATTTATTGATCTAGTTAATGAAAAACAATTCCACTGGTGAGTATTTTATGACAAGCTACATTGGCTACAAACTATATTTAGCACTAAGACAAGAAGTTCAAAATCACAATAAAATAAGTGATTACAATTCCTATCATGTTCAGAAAGGTCCAGGAGCTAACATTTAAGCAAACATCCTTTTGCTCATTTAATCATTGAGTCAGTAAATATTAATTGAATATCAGTTTGGAGAATAAAAAAGATTAATCAGACATATAGCATGCCCTCATCGTTATTACTTTTCAGAAGGTAAAATCAGAATAAAGCATAGGTAAATTCAAGGTGAGATTTAAGTACCCTAGAAAAGCATAGATATTGTCCAAGTTCATGTTAAAGAAGGGAGAACATGACAAAAAGATGACCCTTAAATTTCTGAAGATGCTGAGAGCATTTCTTATCTACTAAATTCATCGATTTGGCTTGAACAGGATAGAGACTACTTGTTTTATAGGTTAATATGTATTAAGCATTTATTGAATACTTCTATTTCTATTGTGGGGCAGAAAGTTTTATTTTGTTTATGATTCATCCAAGATATCTAGCATAGTGACTGACACATAACAGGCAGTCAGTGAATAGTTGTCTTTGAATTACTCAAATGATAGAATATTAACTTTTTGATATAGTAAATATTCATTACAAGTATTACACAGAAAGATGTTTATGGTCTTCCTTCTTCCATGAAAGAATGAGACAATCAAAATTCAGGCAAGAGAAACAAAATACCTGGAAAATTCACAAAGAAAGATAAACTGCTCCTTTGTTCCTAGAATTGATTCACCAAATGCTATTTGGTAACCTGCTTGCATCTATGACACACAGGTTTAATTACATACAGCTAAATAAAGGGATCTATTTCCTCTTTTCAGTTTTTAAGAGATAATAAAGATTGCATTGAAAGGATTAAGCAACATGAGTGACCATTAGAATGACATATTTCATCTTAAAACCATGCAGATTTTGAAATGCATGATAACTTAAGCCTTTAAAACCACTCTAGGAAATCTCCTGTGCCTTTTTATTGGTTTCTCTGGGAAGGTTATCACAGGAAAGCTGTAATTAAATAGCAGTATCTGGTATCACGGCAGGTGCTCTCTTGCCTAACAGTTTTGGGGGCTCCCTAAATGGATAACTGGCCCACCAAGTGAGAAAAAAATTTTAAAATGCAGTTATTTTTCCCCTCTCCAGGGAAATTTTGAAGTGCCACCTGGATCAACCTACTTAATTATCATTATGAACTGTGAAAAAGACAGGCTTTCTCTTTGCAAAGAGGGTTGTAGTTTCTCTTTCATGGCTTTGGCAGTAATCATCTCACCTTCTTTTATTCTTTTTAGTGCCAAGTGCCCCGCCTCAGAACGTCTCCCTGGAAGTAGTTAATTCAAGGGTAAGTGGTGGAAATTTTCACTATTTCATTACCTATACATGTATAACTTTCACTTACCCATCCACCTCATTGGGCGAATGGTAACTTTCATGTGAAGAAATGTTCCAGAGCAGGGCAGTGAGTGTCATTGATCCCACGTCTCTTTCTACCACACTTGAATTAATTAAAGGAAGGATTTGTTTACTAATAGTATACTTGATTTTATAAATGTTATAATAATTGAAGGCTATTCCATCAGGAAACAAAGATGTCTATTTACGTATACTTACCAGTATAAGACATATGTGCTAGATGGAACAGCTGAATGTGGGAATGAGTAAAACAACTGAAGGAGGTGGGATAAAGAAAGACGTTGTTTCTTGGCTGATTAACTAGAACAGACTATTTCATCATCATCCCTATTTTTCCCTTACAAATATAGATGTTGCAGGCCATTCTTCAGGCCCAATAAGGTTATGTTTATGAAGCAATATTACCCAGTGATTAGCGTTTTTCTGGCCGGTAAAGTTGATATAACTTTCACAAGGACATAAATTAAGCTAGGTATAGCAGAAGATAAGAAGCCCAATGCCAGAAATGGTTTTCTAGAAACATCACCTTATTTCAAGTATGTCTCACGGTTGAAAATAAGCCAAAGCCATACAGTAGAATGCAGCAAACCAGGATTGGTGTGGCCTGACTCTTTCATCACCTTGTTGCGGGCACTCAGGGAAATCATTTCACTATCCTTGGGCCTCATTGAGGGAATTGGCCTAACTCCTCTCTAAGTTCTGGGAGACAGCAGGGAAATTATATGAGTCTTAGAGAAAATCCTACTCTGGTTTTTAATCTTAGCTTTCCCTTTTAATAACAATATGATCTTAGAAAAGTTTCCAACCTCATCGAACCTCAGTTTCTCTATCCATCCGATGTGAGTGTGAATGCCTTCCTTACTGATTTATCATGAGGTACCAGCAATATAACATATACAACGGATCTAACTTAGTCTTGGTAGCTATTACTTCAATGTACAATTCCTTGCCATATTTTGCAAAAAGTTCTGATGAAGCTCTATTTTGTGACTTTGATCAGATTTGCTTCTGTCAAATGAATTATTTTTTGGAGCTGGTGAAATGTCTCGAAATTGTTAGCCTCATACTTTTAGGCATTATATTGAATAAGAACAGTGAAATAAATTTAAAATAAGAAGGGAGAAAAGTAAGTGAACTCAGGGAGACAAAAATGAGTTAAGGGAAAATAACCAGAAATAAATATCACGCTAAAAAAAGACATTATTATTTGCAACAAGGTTAAATGTTTTACAGATGTGTCACTCAAATTAAGAGATTGCCAAATGAAAGTCAAGTAGATTATTACAATTATTGTAGGTTGTTAATAAACGAAACTTGGAAAACATCTTATAGTTTGTCTTGTTTTAATGGCTCATTTTTGTTAGTTTTTCACCCACCTCACATCTTTTCTCCACGACAGAACATAGAAGTTGATATAAACTATTTTGTGCATGTGTTTGCTCAATTCCTTTGAAAGTCTACTCTGGCAAAGGATAAATGTTTTCTTCTGAAATGTGAATAAGGCATTATTGAATGACCCTGGATGCTGACTATATTTAAATATGGATTTATAACCTTCCTGAAGAGAGAATTCTTGGATTGCAAAATTGGCTCTTTCAAGTGATTTATATATATATAATTTTATATATATATATATACATACAAAAATATATATGTGTGTATACATACACAAATATCACAGTCCATACTCTTCTATAATATGTAATGCTTGCAGCAACCAAATATAAACACTCCTGCTTTTATGCTCTTGTGGTCATCTCTGGAACATTGCACTGCTAGAAAATTTAACTTGTTCATTGACTTTTCAGAAAGGATAGAGCAGGCCCAGATGCTGGAAAGCCTGTTACTCTCCTCTCCTTCCCTCCATCTTATTTCTTAGCTTTTAATAAATTATAAATTAAAAATTGTTTTTCTTGGATTGTTACCAAGAAGAAAGAAACGGGATGATCAAAACACTGTTTTTTCATTCCCAATATTTTGATGAAGAGAAAGATGAAAACAATATGCTATTGTGATATTCTTCTTCTGTTTGAAACAAAAGAATTCTCAAATATATTAATATTTACCCCTGATTATTACCATTTTAAGGAACAACATTTATTTAAAAAGAAATATTGTAGTTGAGTAAGTATTGTATTCTTTTTAGACTAACAGAATTATGACTTGAATTTATTATACTTGAGATTTTATTTGATATAGAAGGAACAGTCATATTTTGAAATTTTATTCTATCATATTTGCTACTACAGAACATAATTATTTTATTGACAGTCAATGAGGGAATTTGGTGGTGCTAATATTTTTGTACACAGATGGCTAGGATTTCTGTACCTAGAGCCAAAAGGTCACTGTAAGGTATAAAATGACCATTTATAGATACTTGTTAAGGTTATGGCCGCCTATAAGCCAATAGAACTCAGAAATCACGTTCCAGGGTATGCAAACGGAGAGGTCCTTTACATTTAGATAAAAGAACCAAAAGAAATTCTGTTACTATACTGTTCTCAGAAACCCAGTACGGTAGATTACCTTTATAAAGCTATAATCACAGAACAGGCAATATTTCCTTTCTCCAAGCTAGCTGTGAATGTAAATTTTGTTTTGAAAGAATTGCTTTACCTATAGATACTAGATTTGGGGTAATAATGGGTCATGATTAGATGGTTATTTCTGGTACTAAAACTTCTTTACAAGACATAACATCTTCACAAGAAAAGAGAAAACAGTAGTTTAGAGTATGAACTTTAAAATGTGACTGTTTTATTAGGAAAACTTTTTATAAGGGCAATTTTCTTAAGGTGTTACTTTGAAATTCAATTATTTGGAGAAATAAATGTTACAATTGAATTAGTTGGCTAGTGTGTAGAGCACAAGTTTATAGAATGCAAAGGGCTTATGTTGGTACTTGATTATTTTCCTATGTTCTAATATTAAAGTTCTGAGAATAGGAACATTTAGACACTACTAGGATTCAAGATGCTTGGGCTCTTTCACTAGCTCTTCGAGATCTTGGACAGTCACTGTGCCTCAGTTTCATTTATTCTTTCAACATTTACTGTGCACTTACTATATATCTACTACCTATATGTATCTACTGTATATATACATGCATATATTATACACACACACACACACACACACTGTATTTAGACCTATTATACTACTATATATACTTATATGACCCAGTCTTTGCTTTCGCGGAGCTGACAGTTTAGTAGGAAAACACATGAGAAAAAACTTACTTTTCATCTAACCACATTTAATCTACTGTAACTCTTCAAAATTGATGTTATGTCATCATGGATAAAATGAGAAGGTTGGATAAATAATCTCTAAAAAATCTTGTGGCTCCAAACATCTATGACTATATTTCTACTTGTTAGGCCTTTTCTCAATCATTTTATCTTTACAGAATTAGAGGAAACGGCACAAGTACATTGACTAAAGTATACCGGACTTAACTCGCAAGTTTATATTTATCAACCAAGCACTATAGGCTGATTACAAGGAATAAAATATTAAACCCAAATAAGAAAAAGCAAAATCCAGTATATCATCAGGACTGGGTCATTGTGCAGCTTTAGATTTTTTAAATGCAGAATAGTGAATTCTTCTCATTACAACACTGCACATCTCTATTGTTGAAATTGTTACCTTTGAATTCGAGATGCATCTATGTGGATGTCATTTTGTTGCATTCCTAACAGCTGGTACCCAGTGATTCACTCACTCACAGTTCGATAGTGTGTGAAGTGCCTTTGCTGCAACAGTAGAAAAAGTGACTGGTATCTTCCTGCATCTTAAAGTGCCTCGCTCCCCCATGGTTGAGCATAAATTGGCGTGCTTCAATAACTCAAAAATTAGTTTAGCAATCATAAAATTCCCTTTGCCCAGAAACTACCCAAAGGGAGAATTGAAAACAGCAACTTCCGACTCCAAAAAACAAACTGATCATTTTGGCCTCAGATGTTTTAAAGTCTTTCTTTCTTTCTTTTTTTGAAACAATGCAGAGGGAATCTCAATGTTATATCAGTGGGTAACCTCAGAGAAGCATGCTTCTGAAGATGTGATGTGACAGCATGGATTTTGAATGAGATCTTTGTCTCTTGTCATTGGACTAGTGATAATTCTCTTGTCAACCTAAGTCCATAACCAAATGGATAGCTGAGTATTTGCGCTTGACTCCCAACTGGGATGCTCACTTGTTAGGTACTTTGAGCAAAAGTGAAAATGAGAAGAAGGGGCAAAATTGGAGGAATGAAAACCAAAGAGCCAATGTGAGTTACGATATTAATTTGCAGGTCCTCTATTTTTTTTTTCTTTCCAAAACTGGGATTGTCTTCTCTTGGCTGTGCAGAGAGCACTTGAATTCACACTGCTCCCTGCTGCATTACAACCACCCTAAAAACACACTGTTCACACAGATGTTCTGGAGCCACTTCTTCAGTCTCACCATGCTTCCCGTGAACATAGATCTCTTTCTTGCATACTGTACATAGGCATAGGCCTCAGATTGTCATGCAAAGAACACACAAGCAAAAGTTTTATGGAATCATCCTAAATTCTTCCTAAAACACACTTTGGCCACTGAATTTTTTTGGAGCCAGAGCTCTGAGTCTTCCTCTCACAAATATAGCTAGTTTCTGAAATGGATTTAATGTAGAGAAACAGGACAGTTACGAGACCATAGATGATGACTGATTGCGTGTAAAGATCATTTAGAAACTAGCATTTCCAGTAATATTTACACTGACAAACTTCACAGTGGTATTTGTACTCAGTCATAATACACAGAAAATTTCTGCTTGAATACAGTGTCTGGTCCAGTTATCCATCAATCCAATTCAAGTAGATGTAGATCTCATGTATTTATTTTAGTTGTTGACCCCTTCATTGATTCATTCTGCGTCTGCTCCTTGAGCACAGATA